TTACTCCTGTTTGGTGGAGATTAAAATCAAATTTTTAGTAAATTTGGGTACAAATTAAATACTTATGAATTTCATGAAAATATGTTATTAAAATTAATTGTTAACTTTGATTTAGATTAAAATTTAAATTTCAATAGATAACAAACGTGATTTAAAAAAAATTGAATCTCAAAAGTTGGGGGCACCTGCCCCCCAGGACCCCCCTTGGGTCCGCCCATGCTCCAAGGTATGAAAAGTCCTAAATATCATTTTCTATTTTTTCAATATGTATATATATTAATGGTATCTTTTTCTACTTTTTTGTAGCCTGATCGTAGTGCACCTGGTGTGGACATTGTTGCTGCATGGTCAGAGTTAACTACAATTACTGGATGGAAAGGAGATACAAGAGTTGTATCGTACAATATTATATCTAGAACATCCATGTCATGACCTCATGCCTCTGGAGCAGCTGCTTACGTTAAATCATTTAACCCAACTTGGTCTCCTGCTGCAATGAAGTCTGCTTTGATGACTATTGGTAATTCTCTTTGTTGATTCTAAAGTTTTAAGTGTGTTTTTTAGTCTAACTGCCACAAGGACATTGTGTTATTAATAATTTAAAGTAGTATATCATTGTAAGAGAGAGAGAGAGAAAAGTATTTATTCTAAAAACAAAATACACTACAAAATTAGAAAGGTGACATACAATATAACCTCACGACAATGAAATCAAGTCTTTCCTTTCTTTTTGAAAAAGGCTCACTCAAACATGCTCTAGTTAATTTCTCCGATGAAAAATACTTGATCAAGCCTAGAATTTCTGTAATAAATTTCTTTAGAATTTGAACACCAAGTTTGAGAATTAAGGGGGACATAATTCAACCATTGTCTTTCCTTATTTTTATTTTCTAGCTGCAGTGCCAATAGAATCACGGATGGTGAGTTTGCACATGGATCGGGTCATATTTGATCCAATGAAGGCTAAAAGTCCTCGTTTGGTATACGATATGGGACCCAATGACTACGTCAAATTCCTATGTGGGCAAGGTTATAGCCTTAAGAACCCGACATTTATTACTGGAGATAACATCACTTGCACTCAACGTAACAACGGTACAGTTTGGGACCTAAATATCCTTCATTTGCGTTATCTACCAAGTCTTGTGGTTTCGTCACCCGTGCCTTCCATTGGACAATCATAAATGTCGGTTCTCCAGTATCCACTTACACCGCAGTCACAGTGGCAACAATTGGACTAAGTATTAATATTTTGCAGTCCGTTCTGTCGTTCAAATCTATTGGGCAGAAGCAAACATTTGTGGTGACTGTTAATGCAGCATTAACTTCGAGCAGGCTGCCTGTTGTTTTGGTATGGAATGATGGAATGTTTCAAGAGAGGAGTCCCGTTGTTGCCTATGCTACCCAAAATTTCAAGTGTTATCTTAATGTTTATCGATGAAAATTACATGTCTAGAATTTCATCAATTATATAGTGAATTATTGCCAAAATATTGTAGTAATTTGTAATATCATGTCTCTGAATGCTGAATAATCTAATCAAGACATCCCGATCTTTAGTGACCCAATAGACCTCATTGCCTCACTCTATTGTTGTTTGTTTATAGGTCGAATGGGACCCTCTCGGGTTAGGGGTGGGGAACGAGGCAAATTGAACCATCAAGGTTTCATGTTGTGCCCTTAAATGAAATCTTTTGAAGTATGAAAAGATATAAACATTTTAAGTTTAAGATATATACAAGTGGTAATTGAATTAACGAGTACTTTTTATGTCTAGCTAATAATCCAACTATTGTATTATCTCGAAAGTGTTTAGTTCATTCATTCTTGTTAGTTAACACTTGAATGTCGCCAAAGACATAATCTACCATATATGCGGAACGTAGCAAACACACCATGTGTTTAAGCCTCCTACGAACCAGGAATCATTGAGTTTGATAAGAGAATGAAAGTTTGGGAGTTAGAACTTGATACTTTTAAAGTGTGTGATTTTTTTTTTTTAAAGCTATATCGAAAGTATTATAAGATTGTCCCTATGTTCATGGCTAGTATGGTCATTACAATTTTTTCGTGTTAATGGGAACATCCTTAGTCCTAACATTCGCAAGAAATATGTGTTCTTAACATTGAGAGTCTTAGTAACATTTAACAAATTCGAGATAAGAGGGATAAATTTTCGTGCATTATTGGATATTCAGACTCAATCTCATAACGGAAGGAAAAGTAACCTTTTAGCCACAACAACTACAAGATCTATTCAACTGGATCATCATGAGATTTATGAGGCCCTAGATAGGGCTGTCAATGGATTGAATTTTAATCTGAATCGATCCGAATCCGACGAAATTAATGGGAGATGGATTTAGGGTCTCAATCCGATAACCCGATGAAGGTCGAAATCTGATAATCTGTTAATTAAATGGATCAAATATGGATATAGATCGATCTGATCCGATAACAATCCGATCTGATTTGTTATAAATAATTGAGTCGGTAAAATATTTGTATGGCATATTATTTGTCACTAAAATAAACAAATGAGAAAATAAATAAATTTAGAATAAAAAATAATCAAATTCAAAACATAAAAAAGTTTTTAAGAAATTATAATTATTAAACTTGTTTAAGAATTGGAAAAAATTTTTTTTTTTAAAAAAA